AATATATTTTTCTAAATTTTAAAATTTAGCATGTGATTCCATTCTTCATATTGTTAAGTGTTATATCAGATCGTTACAAAGTTTTCTAGTTCTGTTACGAAACTTATTTTTTGGACAGGGTTTATAAGAGAAAGGGCTTCATCAAGTCGCAAATTTTTTACACAAATTCTGTAAAAATTTGGAGAGTTCGTGTTGGACTGTGGAATTTATAAATTTTTATCGTGAAAGATTAAACTTCATTTTTAGGTTAACAAAATAACTCTTACTTATTTAATGGATGTTTATTCTTGGTGGTAAAAAAAAGAAAACTTTTACATTTAGAAGGTAAATACAGACGTATTGTAGGACAACGTGAACACTAAAATTTAATAGGTATATCTAAGCTTACAATTTTTTTAATCGTGAAGGTAAAGGTCTAATTTTTATAGTTATAACCAGCACGGTAATCCTGCAGATCGTGTAATTTAAGTAGAAGACTGTATTTTGTATGGATAACAAAAACAAATTTTATTATATCTAATTTTTAAAATGGTGAAGATTTTTTTCAGTTATTGTTATTTCGTCAATTAAAAACTTTACGGAGTTATCAAATTTGAATTCAGAAAATGGTGAATGAGCAATACAGGATGTCTCATTACTTTCATACATCACCTAGGTACCTATATATATATCACTGAAAATAATTTTGTAAATTTCAGTCAGAATTATATTGTGCAACATGTTAGTGTCAGTGCACTCAACAACGAGAAAAACGAAAAAACGAAAAAGGGCAAAACCGCTCAGTAAAAAGCTTGTATAGTTCGCCTAAAGATATAGTGATGCAGTTTTGGGTTAATTGCTAGTATTTGCGGTAATTTTTACAAGTTCGTCACGGGCGCAATAAATCCGATTTTCTGGTTAAGACCTTCCCCAATTGTAAGAGGAGCAAATAAAAGAGAACAATAAAAATACAAATTAAAGATAGCCATGGATTTTTGATATGTATATTCTGATGTTTCCAATTTTGATTTAAAAAATTAAATGAACAATAATTTATAGTGGAACATATTAAAGTAGATATATAATACGGATACATATTTTTGAAATAAACATGTATTGTTACTATATTCTAGATGTAATATATCCTTATAATTTGAAATCTGATATTTCAAATTGAAAATGCATTAAAAAATAAAATTACTGAAGAAAATATTGGGTGTATAATAAATAATAAGTAATACATAATAAAAGTAGTTATTTTGTATCAGACTACGCTATTTTGTGTTAGTTTATGTGTATTATATTTTTAGATGTTAAACCGATATCTATACCGAACTGACATATATACATATGTACAAGAATAATTATTTATTTATTATCAATATTTTAAAATAAACTTGTTTACTAAAAACTTCAAAACACGTTGTATGCAGATAACAAAAAGTTTCTTTTTAAGAAACTTAAACGCATATATAATATATACGTAGTATTATCTTTTAAGTAACTTAAGTCACTTTTAATGACTCTTTAATTTAAGTTCGTTTTCCACCAATGTATAAATTATGGATATTAGAGTTTAATTCTATTCACAGGCTGTACAAGCTCACATATACCCAACCGCTACAGATTTGTAGATATTTGCAATGTCAAATATTACTCAGACAGTAACGCTGAGAATAGAATAATTATAACTACTACTGGTTGTAACAAAATTAACAAACAACTGTGCTAATATCAAAAAATGCTGTTTAAAATTTTGTATGCAAGCAAACAACGTAAAAACCTTGGATGCTAATTTAACTATGCGACGTTGTGATTACCATAAAATTTATGGTCATTACAATTTAAAAATCAGGTTCACACCAGGCAAAATAAGCGAGTTTTTTTATTTTATATGTATGTACATAGAACAACAAAAGTATCATGCCGTAGTATATGATCCTACGTCAATGTTGTTATACAAAACAGGTAACCAAGTTTTACGTTTTTTTAATGGTATGATACTATGATAATATTAAAGATGGTTTTGAAATTGTATTTCTGGTTGTGTTGAATTTTTTTAGGCGTGGAGTTTCTAGTGAATAATACTTAATAATAATTATAATTCTGTATATTTATATACGAACGGTAAAATGTTGAGGTAACATGAAGTTATTAAATATTTACTGTCACCAACTAATTTTAGAACAAGTCAAAATTTTGCTTTCTTTTCAAATAAGAATAAACCCTCGCCTAGTTAGTCCAAGCATAGACCTAAACTTTTCATTCTCATTTTTGTTTAAATCTGCTTCACAGTTTGTTTTATTAACTGTTACCTTGTTCCTATATCTTTGGCAGAAGTACTGGTTACTAACTGCATCTCCTTTGCAAGAAAATACCCAAAACAAAATTTGAAATTTTCATCTGTACAAAAAAATGTTCGTATTACCAAAAAACATTCAGCAACTATTTTTTCATTTCCCTTCATCGATGTAATTATGTATTTTTCATAAAGGTTTTCATAACATGATCATTAATATTTCATTTAAAATCATTTTCACATTCCAATTTTTAACTGATTATATTTGTTTTTCACTATCGGCTGTTTCCATTTCAAGGAATTTCCTCAAATTATCTTTCAAGGGGTTTTGTGTCGTCACAAGTAATATACAAACGACCATGCTATATGGAGTGCGCATGCACAATAAATCCTAAATGTTTGTGGTATCTATAATTAACCCCGCAGCTGAAGAAACTTGATTGAGTGTTCAGAGAAATTAAGACCATCTAAATGCAAATTTGCTAAAATTTCCAGAAGGAATTTATTTCACCAACGACCCATTTCTGTTTTTGCCCGTCGACGAATATGGATTGGAAATTACAGTAAATTGTATATGTACTAACTTTCTTGGGGTTATGTTTGCTCTGATTGCTTACCTGAAAGGAAGGAAGGTTCTATGAAACAAAATCTTTGATAGTTGCGGAGTAACTCAAAATGCAGGCAAGCGTGCTAAATCACCATCATTACTTATCAATCTGCATAGTTTATTGGGGACTTCCAATAAGCATTTAAAGTTATATTCATTATATGAAGGACTCTATTTTAGATTCATTTTTTAGGTACTATTCCAGTGTGGTTCACGGGTATGTGTGGCATGCTTGGTTTATAAATGTCTTTTGAGTTTTGTAGGTTTCATATGTTTATCTTCCAGGGTTTAATATTGAATTATATCTAATACAAATTATGCAGACTGGATGTTGTTTGGAATTATTTATAACTTGAATGTAACTCCCTACTATAAGAATATTTTATTCTACTTTCTTATTTTTGTATTTATATGTGTATTTTTATTTTTAACCAATTCTTGAAAAATAAAATTACACTTTTTGTCCCGTCTTCTTCACTTTTTTACTTTCAATGTAGCAATGTTTTGTTATGGAGAGTAAATCGTAGCAGTTTAAAATTCTATATTTTTATTGTTAAGATTATTCGTCTCACATAAGGATCTAATAAAGTGCTTCAACAAAATTTCGTTAAAGTGTGTGAAGTGCATACTCCAAACACTGTCGATCGAGAATATTACATACTTATACATTTTAATTTAAGAACTACGAACGGTAATCGATTTACTATTACCTATATATGCATGAAATTTCTAGTAACCATTTCTGTTAAAACTTCGATTGACTCTATACGGAGTTGTTTAAACCTAGATCTTCAGTTCAACCTTCACAGGACCCTTCGTCTTCTACTTATACAGAAAACTATAGTGAACCAAGAGTTATAAGGTTATATGGCCATCATAAAATCATCCCATTGTGTCGAAGTTAAGTTGTTTACAATAGAAAAGGTTTTAGGGTCGTAAATAACGTGTCCACTGCAGCTCGACCGGCTCTTGTGGTTTCGTTCAGGGGCGGCTTTCACTAAATATGAAAATCCACCACTCCACTATTTCTTTACTACCTGCAGCCGCTGAGGGTTCCGAAATAACCAATCGCTTTGAAAGCCGGCCCTGTTAAATATGGGCAAGAAATGTTTAGAAGATGATTTATTGCCAACCGGTAAGCTTAGTGCGAACCACACAAAGGGGGTATTTATTTGCGGTCAACTACTTTTATGATGGCCATATAACCTTATAGGTCTTGGTTCACTATACAAAAATGTGATAATTTAAATGAAAACAAGAAGGAAATTGTGAGTCTAACGTTTATGTAGGTCAGTCGTCCTCTGCATTTCTTGCACTTTTAAATTATTCTTTCATTCGTTTATAGACTCTATCAAATTCAGAAATATAATGATTAGGTATGTTATTATGCTTAATCTTGTTATGTTTAACCAACAGACATTAAAAATTTAGTGAAAAATTCACAAAATGATTTTCCTGAGTAGAGTGCATTCGTGTTCCGACTTGTTACTATGTTTTTAAATTTTATCACTTTGTTGGGTGGTCCTCAAACTAGTCCAGGTAAGCGCTTGCACTTATATATTTGGATAATTTTTTTCTATGTATTTCTATTTTTTCCCAGACGTACGTTCTACATGCTACATAACATACAGATTTAGCTAGAATATATTCATTGTAGACCAAATTAATACGTATCACCATATTAACCGATCTTCGTGACGGCAAACTTTTCTGAAGTTTCTTGTTTTTGTTTGTCCGGTAGCACTGATTTGTACCACAATGAACATACACTATTAATTTGAAGTAGGTACATACTACATACATAAAGTCTGTCTGGTGATTTTTAAACATTTAATAGAAAAATTGCTCAAAAAACTACACGCAAATAACAAATATAAATTGGACATTAAAAAGAACAAATAAATAAAGAAAAATATTTAATATTTATAGCAATTATTAATTTATTGGCACTTCCTATATGTCTGAACAGTCATTCTAACATCACCGTACATTTCTCTTCCTTGGGCACCTTATTGAGTACCACACCACTTATCTTGACCAATCAGAGCACTTTCTCTGATGTCACATCCCCTCTCTCGTCAACCACGTTATCGAATTCATTAGTATCCGCTGAATCTCTGTGTTTACTACAGTGCTCTCTCAGCAGTAAAAGAAGTAGGAGAGCAGATATACACGTGGTCATATTGACATTAGCTAAACGTGACAATATCAAATTAGTGAGATTCTTTATGTGATATTCCATAGTGATAATAACAATGAATCTTTCGTTTGCTGGTTGTGGATTTTTGGGCATCTACCATGTCGGAGTGGCATGTTGCTTTCGCAAATATGCCCCACATTTGTGTTTAAACAAAATATCGGGGGCTTCCGCAGGTGCTATCGCTGCTTGTTGCTTACTACTCGACCTTCCACTAGGTGCGTATTTACTGTTATGTCATCAACGTAATGTTAAATTTACACTCATGTGATATTTCGCGCCGCGCATGTGTTCGAAGGACGTGATTTTAAAGGCTGGTGTGCATTGGTTTATCATATAAATAGAGATAAGATTCACATTGCTTCATGCTAAAAAAAGATAAAAGCTTTTGTTGTTTGTAATCGAAATTTCAACCGCAAATAGATGTACTAATTAAAATCCGTTTACGATGACCACCGGAAATAGAAAAATTACGTTCATTGTGTTATAAAACAGTGGCGTAATAAATTGTGTGATAACATGCGATTTTTGAAAATAATGGGCTTCTATCACATTGGCTGTTGAAAAGATGGATCTTTTAAAAGAAAAACGTTTATAAAAGTAAAAAATTAAGTTTTTAATGTACAAAAGAATCAAAAGTTTTTTGGGAGTAAAATACACCGTCAATTTTTTTATTCCCCTGTTTCATGATGGAAAAAATCGGATCTTCAACTAATGATTCAGGATAATTTAAATCTTTTCATTTGAAATATCGTTAGTTATTACCTATTAGCGTGGATATGATTATACTTTACCTGTAATTAAAAAAATATTATACAGTGTGATTCATTTAAGACTTCATCCTCCAACTAAACATCGTCGTTTTCAAAACAATTTCATTTACATTTTTGCTGTATCCTTTAAATGGACCTAAGAATAATGAATATGTTTTACATTGTTTAGATTTTTACTCTCTTTATATTAATGGCAATGGCCTTTAATTGATACTGAAAAAATCAGAACTCGTGACGTACATGATTAGGAAGAAATTTAATTATTCTGAATTAAATGATAAAATCAGCATTATAACTTATAACATACCATCAGCAATAGTTGTCTTTTAGTTCGGCCCTTCTCATTCCCCATTGATTGAAGAACCTTTCCCACCCAGGATTATGGGTTCGATTGAAAGCGATTTTAAAACTCAGTTTACCTGAACATAGTTTTGTTGCTATACATTTTGACGAAAAATGCGCCACTGTTATAAATAAAAAAAAAAAAACTTTGATAAAAGATATAATGCGGTTATGGCTTAATTTAATTCCTACTCAACTTGCGGTAATTTTTACGAGTTCGTCACAGTGGATTGCAGTAAAGCCGCTACCTGGTAAGACCTTTTCCCATTGTAAGAGTAACAAATAAAAATAATTTTAATACAGCACGTGATCTACTAATCGTCTGTGTAACATGCCATTGCTTGTATTGAATTGTATGAGGGACCCTGTGTTAATGTTTGAAAGTGGTAAACGGACTATTATATTTTTCGCCAAACTTTAGTGTATATCAAAATAATTTTGAACTCTATATGAGCCACCCTTAAAATAAAAACCAGAATAATCTATGCCGAAACGTTCGGATATAAATCCTTATTCAACTTTGGTGATTTTATTCATTAATACATACAATCAGGTTCTCGAAGTATTTTTGTGTACCCTTTTTCCCAAATCAAACCATTTGTTCCCCCAGACTTCGGAAATTTGTCAGTCATTTACAAAATTGTCAGTTAATTATCATTTACTGTCGAGGAAGCACAAAATCCAAATGTTGCAACATTCAGGTTTCTAACATCGTTAAATATTTCTCAATTATAAATGATTTTTGCTCACAAATTTTAAGTTTACAAACGATTAATCCAAAAGCTGTCAAAATATTTTCACGGGTTTGTTTTTACAAGTCAGAAGCAAGATGTATCATGATGAATGAAATGAATCAAACTTTTAAATTGTTTACATATTTCTAGTGTGCGGAACTTTTATTATTATAATTACAGATTCTTAAAAGCTATACAATACAATTTATTTTATTGTAACTTTGTAAGTAAGATCTAAAAGTCTCAGTTTGTTCAGAAAATCGGTGTATTTTTAGCAAACCGACAACACTGCCGTGTAATCTCATGTCATATATATTGTTTTATAAGCCACCAACCTGAACTTGACAATAGACCAATAACAACATTTTCTCTGACGACACATCCCCCCTTCTTGCAACAACGTTATCAATTCGTTATTATCCACACATCACAGATATTTTTTCAATACTCTCTGGGTAGTAAGCGAAGTAAAAAAACAAGTTCGGTCTTAAATAAAGTGATATATAAACGCGACAATAACAAATTAGTGAAGTTCTGTATGTGATATAACATGAATCTGTCCTTTGCTGGTTGTGGATTTTTGGGCATCTACCACGTCGGGGTAGCATGTTGCTTTCGCCAATATGCTCCACACTTATGTTTAAACAAAGTATCGGGGGCTTCCGCAGGTGCTCTTGCTGCTTGTTCTTTAGTGCTCGACCTCCCACTAGGTGCGTATTTAAAGGTATTTTACCATCGATGTGGTGTTGAATTTACACTCAGATGGTCCGTGTTCACAGATCCCTATTTCAAGGATCTGAACGCATAAGATCATCATATCATTGAAGATAAAGTACAAGTGGGTACTTGTTCAAAAAAAAAAACACAATTAAACAAAGAGTTTATAATTTGTAACTGAAGCCTCAATTCAATGAATTGTTTCTTAATTAACGTTGGAAAAATGAACATTATGCGTCTGTGCTGATTCAAAAGACCGTTTTTGTTTTTTTTTTTAAGAGAAATAATAAAAGAGCAAGGTGCTCTTTATTCCATAATAGAGTTTTTTTTGTGTGTCATATTCTGTTTTGAAACATGACAGTACTAGTTATTTTGATTTTGTGCAAAAAATTGTTTTTAATTATTACTTATACATACTGCAGTATATAGATCACTCAATTAAAATTAACAATATTTTAGTTATACAGAAGGTTACAAAACGTTGTTATCTTTCAAGTAAATGGTTATATCTTGTAACGATCATTAGGATGTTCTACTTCAGCTAACACCCTGAATTACTTTAAACTTTAAAACCACTATCCGCATACAGGAAATAAATAAAACAACGGGGACCTCAAAATTGATTGCAGTAGTTTCAGTTTCAACAGCTTTCTTTAAACATCATCCTTATTGAAGCCTGTTTGTGTTTCCAGAATTATTTTTATGGATTTATCAAAGAATTTACAACATATAGAAATACATAATATAGAATTTACGAACGTTCTTCGTTAAAACTTGTTTAGTACCTAAGTAAAATAATAGTCATTTTTATCGATATCTTTTCTAATTTAACTTGAACCAAAATGATAATTATCACAATTACAATTGCGCAAAACTGAACGTAGAATGTAGTCTTTATCAACAGAACATTTGTTGTTAAGTACGTCATCTTAGTAGTTAAACTTTAAATGGTAATTTATATTCACCGACAATAAAATAAAATTGTTTTTGTCTAGGTTATTTACGATAGTACTTGACGGTAAAGAATGGATTCCACTATTACAACTTACTTTTATAACCTTCATTTCAATTGATACGATAGACCATCATTTGTAAATGTGGACATGTCTGGTTAAAAATTGATTAATTACAATATTTATATGTATCTCCACATGTTCATCAAACGCATAAACGGTGTTAAACATGAATAAAACTGTAAGATTACAAAAAAAATCAAAAACAAAGTAAACTAGGACATTTTGATTGATTCTGCGATATGCTATCGAGGTTTGACAGATAATAATGCTTTTTTGAAAACCCCCTAAATAATCTCATGTGAAATCCCGCCGGAGATCGAATGTAGAAACAACATTTGTTAAAATACGTAGCTTTGAATTAATCTGTGCATAAATGATTAGCATTGCATGTAATACGTGAATTGTTTACATTTTTTATTTGGTAGTTAATAATTCATTCTCGTTGTTATTATTATTCAAATTTTCTTATGGAAGTTTTTTACTTTTTGTTACACACACGATTTGAAAGTCAACGGCATTTATTTAACCACGTGTCCATTTTTGTAAAAAGTATAGAGATTTATATTCATTTCTTTTGAATATAATACGCAATTACCCACAAGATGTAAACAATAATATTGTTACAGCAATAGTGATAATCCGACTTGGGTAAACATGTTTAAATTAGCTTATTTTACAAAAAATGCCGATAAAGAAATCGCTTTTATAGTTAAACTAATACAATTAACTATTTGATCATTTATTTTGATACTTCTTGAAATAATGGTGTCAATAATATTTGCTCAACTTATCTTATAATCGTAACAATGTAAATATAAATCAAGTTTTAGGAATCTATTGTTAATATAATTTGAAACGCTCGCCGAGTCAAATATTATGAAGAGAATATTACAAATACAAACACAAATTACAAATAATTAAATAAAAAAAAGTTATTGAACTTTCTTGATTAAATTATGTATTGTGTGTTCGTGGTCATGGGAATATAAACAATAAGACGAAACTAAACCATTGCTATCTCTATTACCACAAGCATAGATTTATCTTAGAAAGAGATTTAATTCAAATTTATAAATATGTGTTCATATTCCTTTGTTATTAAGTATCCTTTTACTGACACGTGTCTGACAAGATTATTTCCATGATAATGCTTCTGAGAACACTTAAAATTTTAAACTACTTTCTTTTGCAGGAGAAACTACAAGCGACGTTCTTCGAGTAGCCATAGAAGCACGAAAAAGATCCCTAGGACCTTTCAATCCCTCATTCAATATACACAACCTTCTTCTAGAAGGTCTGGAAAAATTTTTGCCAGATGATGCCCACGTCAGAGTCAGTGGCAAACTACACGTCTCTCTAACTCGCGTCCGTGACGGCAAAAATGTCATTGTGTCGCAATTCGACAGCAGAGAAGAACTTATTCAAGTTCTTCTCGCTTCAGCTTTCATACCAATCTTCTCTGGAATCCTTCCACCAAAATTCAAAGGGGTTAGATATATGGATGGGGGATACAGCGACAATTTGCCAACTCTAGATGAAAACACAATCACTGTTAGTCCGTTCTGTGGCGAAAGTGATATTTGTCCTAGAGATGATAGTTCACAGTTGTTTCATGTAAGATTCGAAGGATTAGTGTTTGGAAAAAGCTAACTATTTTTAATTACAGATAAATATTGCCAATACTAGCATAGAATTATCAAAACATAATATATATAGAATGGTTAGAATACTTTTCCCACCAAAACCTGAAGTTTTGTCAAATATGTGTAAGCAAGGCTTCGATGATGCTCTCAGATTTTTGCATCGGAATAATCTTATTAATTGTACAAGATGTTTGGCTGTGCAGTCGACTTTCGTGGTTTCGGAAACTTTGGATGAAAATTTGGAGTATGACCCGCAGTGTAAAGAATGTAGACAACACAGACAGGTAAGCATGTTGGGTATTTTAAAATGTTCCAAAAGTCCTTTATTTTTGCTATCAATAATTAATAAGTGACTCTTCTATCAAGCAAGTAATTAGTGAATCATTAATTATTTTGCACATTTGTGTGCCCCCAGACATCAAATAAATGCTCTTTGGATATTTTCAATAAGTGATCTTTGATTACATAGATTATTTAGTCTGGCTTATTAGTCACCGCTTTGTATAGTAGCTAGTTTTTTATCTTTTCAACCTTCATGATCACTAATGTATTCAATCTGTTGCACAAGTATTACGAAATTAATACTTATAAGTCATTAACTTTTATAAAAAAAAATGTATTGTCTACAAAGTATTCTTTTTCTAACAGGAGGCGTTGGTGTCAAACATGCCTGATACTGTCCTAAGCATATTCCAAGAAGCAATCGACTCCGCTAACAAAGGATTACTCAACTGGCTTTTTAAACACCGCGGCATGAAACTGCTTTCCGTGTTAAGTCTTCCGTATACTCTTCCAGCGGATATCGTTTACGCAACAATCACAAAGTAAGTCAAAGTAGTACGATATTAATAGGCCTGAAAGCCCTAACCCCCAGCATGGCATTTACTACACGAATTAACACTTACAGGTTAAACCTTATCCCTACTGTAAAAGCAGCCCCAATGATACTCTCTAGAAACATAACAGATTTTAATATTGTTGCCGCTGTCGGTACACAATTTGAAACTAAATCTCTCCAGTTCTCAGCCTTAGGAAATAGTTTAGTACCAGTAAATGCTCTAGTACCCGCCCATTGTACCACATGTTCCCCAATAACTAACAACCAGAGGTGACTAATAATAATCTATTCCACGCAATGTCCTCGTCTAACAATGTTATGTCTTATGTTGCTTCTTCACCTTAGTTTCTTACCCTAAAAGAATGTTTGTTGAAGGTTCATGGCTACGGCGCCTCAAATAGGTAACACTTTCTGGGATATGAGCAAATACTTCATGGATCAGGTGTCTCATGTTCTCAATAAACTAAACAACAAGCGCGAACAATTGAGTGCTAAGATTACTTGCCAATTGGCCGTAACTGAATATGGTGGAAGTAAGTTAAAAATGTTCCGTTTGTGCCTATTTAATGCCATTTCTTCTATTTTAGCAGATGTTGAGGCTTGTCAAGATACGTTGTCCACTAAAAATAAAATGAACTTGAACTTTACACTCAATTTAGATGATAGGTAAGTGTTTTTTTGATGTACACGCAATTTTATAATTATAAAAATCAAAGTCCACTGATTGTTTCACTGTATGATGGTTGCAATGAACTTTTTTTATGTTTCCAGTGATCTGCCCATCAGTCAAAGTCCAGGCCGAAAATTCACGTCTTCGAAACTTCTCCAAAGGAGGCCTAGTTTGACAATAAACAGAACCGATACAGGTGAAGACGATACATTCGAACATATCTTGCAAGTCACGTCTCACCATGAAACCATAATGGCTTACTATTATTTAGATGAAAATAATAAAGTCAAAGTCACCGAAATTTTCGATGTTACTGATAGTGATTCTCCGATTGTTCAAACTTCACATGAAAGAGAATTCAACAAAAACCTGGAATTTGATGATGATTGGGATGAATCTACTTGGACTACGACGCATGCATTAGATGATCGTATGTTAATTTAAGGTTGACTTAACCTTAAACAGTCTACAATAAAAAATTTCAGGCATGTATCTAGATGAAAGAAGAAGGAGTTTAGGCGAAACATCGGAATATTCTCTTGAGGACCTTTTGGATAAAGATGCTTCAAATCTATTTTCTGATCCGGAGAGCGAGTGGACTGGTACCTATAAAATTGAAGAACCAGAAGATGATGATGATCTAATACCAACAACTGATTTAAGACCAGAATCTGAACAACCGGAGCAACCGATTTATGTTAGGGCTTGCACAGTTCCTTCTTTTACCTTCCAAAATGATTCATAGGATAGTGGTTACGAGGGTTACGACTAAATTTCTTATAGAGATATTTATTTTGGTTTCATAAACATTGTGATATTGTAATTATAAAAAAAAAATGATATTTATTAAGTATTATATGACCACTTATTGTAACTATTTATAATAAATTATATTAGTTAATAATTATCTTTTTAAATTAGAAAAATAAAGTATTGTTGTAATTCATTCTATCTTTTATATTGCTTAAAATAAATCATTTTGTAATTTTTGAGTGGCTATTCAGTTTTTTATTTCAATGCTTTCATACCAACTTTCAATTAATAGCAGATCGGCCCAGCATTTAATGTCTAATTTGATTCTTTTAACCTGATGTTACACTAATTACACTCGTTGAGACGGACTGTGGCGTCAAATGCGATTCATTCTTGTTTAAACAAAAACAATGTTTGCTTTCACGTCGTTTTTTTCTTTCAGTGCGAATTTTAAGTTTCAAATTGAGGACATCACAACTTTTTTTTATTATTTTAGATTCAAGAAAACCCTTTGTTTTTTTGTAAAACGTCCATTTAATTCTTGTGAGTTCTCTAAATAAATCAAAACAGGTACATAATTAAATATTTTGTAAGGTGACCAGATATCACGGAAGTGCTACACAAGAAGCAAATACATGTGGTTCAATAATATATTGATGCCAGCCAGAAAATATGTTTTCATTATTGAATATCAAATTGAATAATTATAATAAAGTATGTGGTTACTTTACTGACAACAGTAAGAATTATGCCCTTATTGATATTAAAAAATCCAGCTGCTCTAAATTCTGGTATGAAATTCGTCGAATAATTTACTAAGTCTACTACAGCTGTTAATGATTTGGATTCTTCATTTAGATGTTCCTGAAGTTGATAGCACAAGTCTACAAACCTTCCAGCCTCACAGATAGTGGAATCAATAGAAAGTAGCATTTTCAAATAATTCACCTAAAACGAAATGGTACAAAAAAAGTTGTATAAAACTATAAACTTACTGCTAGAAGTATAGTCAAACAAATGCTCGAAGTCTTTATGTGACATCCAAGGATGCGGGACCCCAATGAATTTAAGACTAAGAAATTTAATAAGCTAAGCGATATCAATCCAAAATTAAATACTATCATTAAAAGCTGATATCCAAATAATTTGTTAAGTATTTCCGTTGTTTCTTTTAAAAGTTTGTAATGCCGCACAAGATTTCTAAGTTCATTTATACAATGTGAATGTTTGCGAACTATTAAAAATCGTCTATTCAGATGTATATACGCATTTTTTAAAACATTTATCACAGTGTTTAGTAATACAACAAACAAAAGTAGATAGTAGGTATCAGTTAAAAGCAAAGTATTAAGAAAAACAGTACCTGGAAATTCAAACATATTTTTCGCACTATATATCTGATACATCATTAAAACAAAATATATGAAGTTATTAATAAATACATTAAAATTAATTTTTTTAAATAATTTGGATTTCCGAGTACTTACATGAATTAGTTTCGACAAAGAATAAATAAATTGTAAGTTTGCAAATAAATTCTTCCACTTATCACCATGACAGAAACACGAATTTCTTATGGTCAACATTATTAAAATTTTTAAATTTAAAACAAATAAATTAAACAGAAGATACTGTGCGCTATTCATGCCAAGATAATAAAGAAATGTACGGCCCCATGAAACATATGATATGCAAGTAAATATTTCAACAGTTAGAAAAAAAATTCCAAGAATTTTCATAATATGTGGTTTATAATATGATTTCTTGTTAAAATCATACCATGGTGTAACGAGAAAAATATTCATATAAATGAAGAAATATTGAAAAGAACTTCTATTTTTTTGTTCCATTTCACTGAAATTGGCTTTAATGATGTTCTAGAAGTTTATCGGATACTCAACTGAATTAGAAAATGCTTCTATTAAGTTAATCTGGTACATCGTTAATAATTTATCTTACTAAAATTATAATCGGAAATACTAAACAATACTTTCATAATTTTGCCTTGATCAGATAAACATTGTGTTGTCAGTTTCGTGTAATTTGTTTTTAGATTACTTAATTTCCCTTGTTGTCAGGTCGATTAAAACTTTGGATTTGATGCAGGGGCGTATTTTCCACGAAAAAAGCGAAACACCCCCTTCTCTAACTACATTTTACATACTATATTATACTATTATGAGTTATACTATATCTATACTAAGTATATAAATTATAATACACATTTCATTTTTACATTTTCAAAACTTCTAACACGAACTATTTAAAGTAGGTACCTACACAAGTTTCACACATGCAAGAAATAAATAAGAGTACTTTATGTTAATTATTGTGACGTAATATAATAAGTAACAGTAGGTAAAAATCTTGGTTTAGTCATTGCTATCAAAGCACAACAACGTTTTCATGTTTATTTCATGGCACCGATTGTGCCCTCACTGAAAGCAATTACGATAATATATAATAATAATAATAATTTATTTACAACTTAATAAATCATGTACATTGTTATGTAAATGACTTAGAGTTACATCAATAAACAAGAAATTTAGACATTAACAGTAACAATACTATTGTACCAAACAGAAATAATAAAAATAAACACAAATGAACAACAAAGCTTTACTAATCAGCAAGAAAATCGCTTGTACAATAACAATTTAATCCCAGCAGGTACGATTTAACTTTAGCTTTAAATTTTAAAATATTATTTACTTCTTTATCAAAGTCGGTAATTTATTAAACATTCTCCAAGAATTATATTGAAGATCTTTCTGGAAATATGTCGTATTATGTTGTCTAGGTAGCAAGTGATCCTTGTGTCGAGTATTATATGTATCCATTGTAGGATGTAGAGTTTGTCTAAAATTATAAGAATCAATTTTATGGACTCCCAAAGTTAATTCGTTTTACAGTATTGTAATTTTATTGTACAGCTAAAGAGCCTGTCAGGTGAAAGCCAATATTTACTGCACCCAAGTTCGCCCCGCGCCAGCAGTTTAGCAGGGAGGTACAAATTTCTTGGAAAAGCTGCGGTTCAAAAAGGCCTGTAAAACGACAGGGCTGTAAAGCGAATTAACTCTGGGAGTCCATAAAATTCTTATAATTCTAGACAAACTTTACCTCTGGCGCGCGTATCATCAATACAACTCGTCCGGCAGAAGATACATGGTGAAACAACTGAGAATCGCCAGAGGAGCTCTCGTTGTTAGGCATTGAGACGTCCCCGAAGGGAAGACTACCATTCTTAAGCGTTTCACCACCTCCTCGAGTTAACCTAATGCGGGTACACCGCGGCATGGCTTAGGGGTCGCGTACTGGTTTTTGTCTGCCGAGGGCTACCTCAAACAAGCAGGTTCTAGTAAATCTTCGCCATTGCATCTTTCCCTTAAGCGCTGTGGGCATCTGCAGACATCCCTGTACTCGCTACTCAGTCTGTACTAAAAAGCGAGTAACTCAGTGGTGTGGTGGTTTTGGCGGCTTTTTTGTGTAAATTGTTTTTTCACGATTTAGTGTCTGAGTTTTTGCCGGTGGCCGTCTCAAAGAATGTCCCTTAGGTCCCGGACCTGTGAAGGACCGCTTCGAGAAGTGGAGGGATAAATCAGATGCGATTTTGCTCCATAGGTTATCAACTGATAAATTACTAAAACAGCTTAACGAGCACAAACGAAGCAACAGCTCGTTGAAGTAGCACATTCGTAATTAAGAGTAGGGGGTAGTTATGTACACATAGCACAGTCATAATGATAAACCTTAAGCTAAACCAAGTAAACGAGCACTTGGTACATAACAAACCGCGACAATGGAATGATTGTGTATAAAAAAAATGAACGATAAAATCTGTTTTAAGAGTACGGGTTAGTTATGCTTAGAAAATACTGAAGGATAGTAATTATGAACATTAAACTAGTGTAAGTAAACGAGCAGGGTGGTGTATCCCGCACTCGGACATCCTGTACGCCTAGTCATGAGGCATGGGGTCAGTGCACCCCGGAAAGTCGGAAGGGTGCGTTCTCCGGTATTCCACGCGCTCATAGTGGATGAGAGCGCCTGCGGTGGGTGCACACGCCTTGATGAGGCACCGCCCGGTCGTTAGATTGGATGCAGTAGTAAGACAGGCATTAATCAAACAGGAAGAAGTTGATTTTATGGGAGAAGTCAACCTCGAAGCATTAAAATCACTTTGAGCAACCAATAAATGCCGATAACGCGGCCTTCACAAGGGCAGAACAGTGCATACGAGCATAACTAGGTCAGTGGGACTTACATGCCATCGAGTCAGCAGCTCGGTAGAAGGTCGGAGGGGGAAACTTGGTAATATTCTGCTGCAATCGGCTGGAGAAGGTTGACTGGAAGATGTATAGTCTTCCAGATTCTCTAAGGTTATATGACCCCACTAAACCTAATAATGGGAAATAATAATTTCTTTTGTGCCGTTGATCACCGACACGAGCCTACCGTTATAAATCAAGGATTTGTCCAATATGAATGAACAGGATGACGGACGGGGCCAGGTACAAACGAAAAGATTTACACTTGTGGATTTGCCTGATTAACCGCTACCCTAATTTTACAACAGCCATATAATCTTAGACAATCTGGAAGACTAGACCTACTTGGCGCTATCTTGCGCTGGAAATTGGGTATCATACTAGAAATAGTAGAAATTAGTCCAACCAACCGAAAGACTCAATCGGTTCAGACTGATTTTCAGGTCCAATTTTATTCCTCTTTATAGGAATTTTCGAGCATGTGAACAACACGAGAAATGCGAAAAAATCCATTTCTCGTAATTTTATCACCGGGAATGATGGGACGAGTTCATAAGAATGCATTTCTTATAATTTAGTCACCATTCGGCCATCTAAAATGCTGGAGAATTCGCCCGACTTGTCGTCCTGCATTTGAATCCTTGGTCTCCTATGAACCGAGATATGATTGGGCCGTGGTCTAATGGAGAATAGACGTTATTCTTACATGGTGATGGCATGCATTCATTCATAACATTGTGGAAAGGAAATCTTAGACAAAGAAGCACGTTCGATGTCGATCGCAAGTGAAGTGATTTGATTGGTCGTGGAAATGCTATCCATATTTTGGCATATATTGCGCGTCGACAATTACTCCCAGAAGATAATAATATGAATATACAGGGCCGAGATAAATAATAGATGGTTTTGATGGTTACGTTAGTTGACGCTAACGTAGAAATTCGGGCTTTTGGTTCCTATAATAAAGAAGGGT